CACCCGTCCCGCGCGGGCTCCGCTGCTTCCTGGAGTGCCGGCGCGCGCGCCCCGCCAGTCGCTCCCCGCTCCTCTCGGGGGGCCAGCTCGCCCTGCACCCTGGAGCACCGATCTGCGAACCTCTGCCAGCTCCGTGGCTCCTCGCCGTGGGCAGCGGCTGCCGAGCCTGTGCGCCCGAGGGAGGTAGGTGCGGGAGGCGGCGGGCGCGCGGCGGAGCGCGCTCGGTCTGGGACCTGGAAGTGGGGCCCCGGGCGGCGCGCAAAGCCGCGGGAGGGAGCCAGCCTTCTCTTCTGGGTAAATTCTTCCAGGCTCAGGGTTGGCGTCAGTCAGATAAGGTAGTCGCGCAGGTTAAGGCCAGTGTCTCTGCGAAGCACACGGCAGGCGACGGGCTGGGAGAGACAGCTTGGGGGCCTCCGCACGAGGCGCCCCTGGGCCCCGGGAGGTTGAGGGCAGCGCCTTCTTCCTGTTCCACCCCCCCACCCCCACCCCAAGGCCGAAGCCGCATCCCACTCCCTGAACTAAAGGGAATTCCCCTCGGTCCAGGACCGTGTAGACGCGCCCTGCTGCATTGTTGACTTGAGGGAGTCCTGGCGTTGGCAAGCTCGCCTCACGTGTGCGCCAAGGGGCCGGGCATTACTGTGTAAGTGGCGGCGCTGGGCGGGGGCCTCCTGGAAAAGCCCGGCCTAGATCCTCCTGCTTCCACGTAGGCGAGTGCGGGGACCTGAGCCAGCTGCCGCTTCGTGTAACAGGTGGACCGCGCGGGCAGGGGCCCCTAAGTCGGCCTGTGTGGAAGCTCTTTGGAAGCTGGACTTGTGGGATTTGGGTCCTAGGCCCTGCCTGCCTCAGGGGCCGTTCACCCAGGAATTTTAATAACTTGGTTACTTTCTCTGGTTTTACAGAGGAAACTGAGCCCCTGGGGGGTCGGGGGGGGGGTCTGCCAGCATAGAGTGAGGTGGGTGAACTGTATGAACACAGCAGGTGGAGCTCATGGGGAGGGGGCTGAATTGGAAGGCTTCCTGGAGGAGGTGATATTTGAGCTTAACGGGGGTGGAAAGAGTTTGGGTGTGGGTATGGAGGGATGCAGGGGTCTTCCTTTACTTTGGCCTCCATGGCACCTTAAATTCATTCCTCTGTTCATGCATAAAGCCTCTTGATGACATGAATTCAACTGTAACGTGGTTGAAATCGCCATCCCCTCTCTGTTCAGACCCCGTTCTCAAAAGGGGAAGTGGGTGGGCTGGGTTCCCAAGGTCCAATCTTCAGCAGAGGTGGGGGAGGCAGGAAGTCAGGTCCTGGTATCTGTTGAAATGTTCTCAGTGCTGCTGTGGTCAATCGGTACCTTCCTTCTAGGATTTACAGGGTTATTTCTTTTTTCACTTCTTGTGATAAAATGGTACTTTTTGGCTGATTAAGGGCATATCAATGGTTTGATTATAAGCCATTTTTTAAAAGATTGATTTATTTATGTACACAAGAACTGAGGTACAGGCCAGAGGTGTGTGGGGGTGGGAGGCTTCTCCAGAGACAGAGTGGGGAGCAGAACAGGCAGACTGACCAAGTACACTGCTGAGGGGAGCAGCGGGCGGGTCAGGAGAGGTCTGCTGCACCATGTGGGTCACCCCCGGGGCGGGGATCGAACTCATGCTGCAGTGGCTGCGGATAGCTTCATAGTGCTGTGCTTTGTCCCAGAGCTGTGGAACATAGATGGCCAGGCCCACCCCTAGAGTTTGATTTCATGGGACTGGAACATGGGGTGGGGTCTGAGAATGGGCACATCTAACAAGTTCCCAGATAAGGGAGCGGCTGCTGGCGGCCCTGGGAACCTTAGAAGGATTGGTTTGGAAGTAGTGACTGAGAGAGAGCCCTGGCTTCCTTCCAGCCAGTGTGCACTTCCAAACTCCCCCACAAGCTCCCAGTCAGGTGATTTGGGTAAGTCACTTAAACTTCTGGTTTCCTCACCTATAGGATGAAGCTAATAGTTCCTACCTCCTGGGGTTCAAGAGAGGCTTCCAGAAGGAGATGACATCTTAGCTGAGACCTGAAGGCTGAGCAGAGGAGTTGGTCAGGGTACAGGCACAGGGGGCAGGCCGGGGCACCAAATAGGAGGGCTCTGTGTGTTGGAAGCCCAAGAAGGAGGGAGCCATGTCCTCCCGGGAACCAGTGGTGTGTAAGGGGTACTGAGATCTGGGACTCTGGCCTGGGCTTCGTGTCTCAGCACAGGATCGCAGTGGAGGGGAGGCCGACCAAGGCGTGGAAAACGGGCCACCAGGATGGACCTGGCCATGGCACAGGTTACTTTGGCCACATTCTGATGACCTGAAAGCCATCACCTGCGATGCCAGAGGTGCTGGGAATTAGCACTCAGTTAGATGTGTGCCTTTGGGAGCCCCGCCATGACCCAGGCTTCCTCACAGGATCTCAGCCATGGCCTCAGGCTAACTAGCCCCCAGATATGTTATAAATACAACCCAATAGTCCCTCTGCTCCTCCATAACTGTATCAACCCTGTTTCAACAGAAATTGCCAACTTGTCTCCAGTTACTTATTCATTCCTGCACCATGCATTTTTGTAGAAGCTAGTTTGTGCCACACATTGTGCTCTGGCCAGGAGCTGGAGAGGAATAAGACACGGCCCGCTTTGTTCCAGACGCTCACATGGTCTAGCCACGGAGAGGCTGCAGCAACACAGAGCTCCCCAGAGAAGTGAGACGTGCTGTGTCCCTGGTCTGGCCAGCCAGGAGTACAGAGTGTGCTGGGTACAGGAGAAGGGCGCCCCACAAATCATTAAAAAGGAAAATGTAAGTCCTCTATACTGATCGAAGATATAATTACATTGTTTTGTGCTTGGCATTTCAAAATGTGGTTTTCTAATTTTTAAAATAATAGCCTTTGCACCGTAACCGTTTGTAGGAACACAGCATAGTGTACTGCACGATTTTATGAGCCTTCGCAGCAAATGTTGGCTCCTTGCCTTGGGTTCCACCATGGTTACTTCTTGACTCAGTAAATGAGATCATTTCTCTGTCTTTTTGTGGTTTGCAAGGAGGAGAGGAGGAAGAACAGATCAGGGAGGACTCCTTGGAAGTTCACCAGACTGATCCCAGAGCAGGGTTTCTCAGTCTCAACACTGTCAGTGGCGTGACAGTAGGTGGGTGTTTTGGGGGGAGGTCTTGTCCCGCGCCTGGAAGCATCTGGCGGCATTCCTAATCTAACCCACAGGATGCCAGTTATGCTCCAAAATTGTGGCAACTAAAACTGTCTCCAGACATTGCCGTGTGTCCCCTGAGGGTGAGAGCCACATTGTGAATTTATATTTTATATTTTAAATTTGTATTTTATCAAAAATTTAGTGACTCAAAAGAGCACATACTGGGCTCTCCCTGAGGGCGCAGTGAGTTAAAGCACAGCACCATGAAGCCATCCTCAGCCACCGCATCGTGAGTGCGACCCCCAGCAGGGAGCTGACCCAGACCTCTCCTGACCCACCTGCTGCTCCCCTCAAAGTGTATTTCAGTACATCCACCTGTTCTGCTCCCCACTCAGTCTCTGGTGAATACACACACACACACACACACACACACACACACACACACACACACAC